GGGCCCTGCCCTGAGAGCTGCGCGGGGGGGCCAGGCAGCCTGGGCACGGCCGGCCCAGGAAACGCTTCCTTCCACTTGAAACTAGCCGAGCTCCCTGCTCGAGGTGCTGCAGGAGGCCAGTCGCTACGGGGGCCCTGAGGGGACAGGGCAGGGAAGAACGAGGCCTCCCTCACAGGGAGGGGTGATGCTGCCCAGAGTGCTAAAGCAGAGCCATAGTGTCCCCCCCCAGGCTGGCCCCACTTCCTGCCGTGTGGGGAGACCTGCATGGTCGTTACACTAATGAGGGGCAGGGCTCTCTCTCCTGCTGAGGCTTGGGGGGGGGGGCCTGGCGTAGGCTCGGGACCCACTCTCCCTGGTCAATGCTCCCTGCCTTCAGAGAGGGGCAGACAACCCCTTTGCCAGCCTGGGCCTCAAGCGGGGCTGTTTTCTTCCAAACATGGGCTGGGGTGGCCTGAGGAAACTATTTATGTATTTGTATTTATATGGAATTATTTATTGTGCCCCATCCCTGTCTCATCTGGGCCGTGCCCCTGGGTCCGGGCCCCACCCCTAATAAAAGTGTTCCTTTTTGTAAACCCGACCGTGCGGCTGCCTGAAGGGTGGGGGGTTGCTGTGCTGCCTTGGGGAGTCTGCCTCTTGCTGGCCCAGGCCCCCCCAGCCTGTGCACTGAGGCCGGAACCTCCCCCAGGGAATAATCTACCTCTGTGTCCCCCCCCCCCCCCTCCAGCTGCTGCTGCCCCCGGCGCCACTCAGCTCTCCTTCCCTGGGGCACATGCAGAGGGGGATTAGGTTGGGGGGCAGCCCTGAGAGTGGTGGGGGGCCCAGTGTGCCGGGAAGCATGTGAGCTGGAAGTGATGCTACTTCCAGTGGTGGGAGTCTATATTACTCCTGCCCTGAGCCAGCCCCCCCACCTCCGAGTAAAACCGGGGTGGGGCACAGGGCTGGCAGCAGGGAGTCTGAGCATACTCTCCCCCCCTCGTGCCTCCAGCTGTCATGCTGGCCTTGTCCCTATGTGCTCCGCGCCCCTGGTGTGGGGTAAGGGAGGCCTCGTCCCACCGTTCATTCTCGATGCTTCCTTTCATGGGCTGGATCGCACTGGTGATGGGGCCACTCACTGGGAGGGGGGTGCAGCAAAGTTCCAACCCTCCCCCCAAAAAGCTGGAGTAAAATCTGGGTGAGCTGCAGTCAAAATGCTACTCCAGCCCTGCTCGGCTGGCAGCACGGTGCCCGGCTGGGCCAGGCCGGGTTCAAAGGCGGGTGAGGCCCGGGCAGTGGGTTTCTCAGTGACGCTCTCTCAGGTCTGTACGGTGCTCCCTGCGGCAGACGGGCGCCCAGCGGGGAGGGATCTGGGTTCCAAAGTGCCCCGGCTGGGCCAGGCCGGGTTCAAAGGCGGGTGAGGCCCGGGCAGTGGGTTTCTCAGTGACGCTCTCTCAGGTCTGTACGGTGCTCCCTGCGGCAGACGGGCGCCCAGCGGGGAGGGATCTGGGTTCCAAAGTGCCCGTGCTGTCCGGGGCGATGCCCTGAGCAGGCTGGCCGGGGGGGGGGGCAAACTCCTTTGGCAGGAGCCAACGCTCACCCC